ACAAACTGTGCTTTAAGCTTTGTTGAGGCTGGTCCAGAAAAGTTGTTAGTCTAGATTTTTCTCTCTTTTTTTTTTTTTTGCCTCTGGTCCAGTTTTGTGATAGAATTAATTTGATCCCATTACTGTGGACTCTATTCAACTGCCTTCATGTTAAGAGGTATTTCCATACAGACTGGTGAGAACATGAATGTTCTCTGTGTGAGCTCTGGGAATTGCTCTGTCTGCTGCTTTCCAGTGATTCTTTCCCTGACTTCCAGTAGTCTCCTCACACAAAAGTGCTGATCAACACTCAGCTGCTGACTCATGAGCAAGTCTCTGCAGCTCCCCAGAGAGTTCTCTCTGTGCAGGCTCTTTCCTCTCCAGTACTCTGACCTGCCAATTTCACCGTCTCAGCCTCCTTGAAAGATGAACTTTGTTTCTTCAACTCAACATCTCCAGCCTCCATCTGCAGCCTGGGAATTCCATCCAGGCAGTAAGCTGGAGTGCTCTTAGGGCCCATCTCATTTGTTTCCTTTTTGTCAGGGATCATTATTGCAAAGCTTGCTGTCCAATGTCTGAAAACCACTGTTTTATATACTTTGTCTACTTTTTTTGACAGGAGGGTAAATCTAGTCCCTGTTACACCTTTTTGGCTGGAGACAGAAATCTTGTTTGTGATTTTTAAGAATTACTCTCTTAAATTTGTTTTATAATTATGTAAAATACAAAGCTCTGAAGTTAAAACACGGTAAAATATTCTATGTAACATTTTGGTCAGTGATGGACCACACATATGACAGTGGTCCCCTAAGATAATGCCACATTTTAGTTGCACCTTTTCTGTGTTTAGTTACACAAACACTAAGTGTTACATTACAACTGCCTACATTATTCAGTACACAATATGCTGTACACGGTGTGCAGCCTAGGAGAAAGTAGGTTATACTCATAATAACTGTGATGTTAGTTAGCTACATCTTTATCTAGGTCTGTGTAAGTACACTCTGTGGATGTTTGCACAAATGATGGTATCACCTAATGACGCATTTCTCAGACATATCCCGTGGATCATGTAAGTGGGATGCCGATCAAAAAGAGTCTGTGCGTCTATTGCCCTTTGCTTTTGCCCTTACGCAATCTCACTGAGTTGGGTAAACATAAAAACAACAAACTTCCCCTCCACCCCTTTTAAGTTTTTATTTATTTCATACTACTGTCTATTATTATTAACATAAACAAGCCAAATATATCCACTATTACATCTCTACTTTCTTCCTTAGGTGATTCCAGTCGCCATACTACAAAAATCTCTCAAACCTAACCTATTTTATTTAGTAAAATTAAACCATATCCGTGAAGACTCCACTCCCACATACAAGTATACAGACATACTCGTTCGATTGCCTATTCTTTTGAATTGTATAACATTTAAAAGAAGGGGGAATTAAAAATGTTTATAAAACACATTATCACTCGACTATTTTTCAACAGGTCTTTACTTTACGCCATTGCTGAAAGAGGGTTTTTGCCATTCCTGGGTCAGCATAAAAGAAGCAATGGTGTGCTGAGGAAAATCCTTCATAGCAAGGAAAAGAATACTCGTTTCCAAGCAAACAGCAGAATTCTAGGACAAGAACTAAAGATTTCTATCAACAAAGCCAATGGAATTGTACAAAATGAGTCACTTTCACCCTTTCAGCATAAGCCTATTATAGCATTGATGAAACTAATTCCAAGCTATAAGAAAAAGTAGAGAAACAGGGAAAGACCTGTCTAATTATATGACCTCGAGATTCTGAAGTTCCATATATGTATTTTTCTGTTCTTTTCTGTTCTTGTTGTTTTGTTGGTGGTTTTTTTTTTGAGATGGAGTCTTGCTCTGTCACCCAGGCTGGGGTACAGGGCGTTATTCTTGGCTCACTGCATCCTCCCACCCGGTTTCAAGCGATTCTCCCACCTCAGACCTCCCAAGTAGGCTGGGCATTACAGGGCATCCCCCACCATGCCCAGCTATATTATTTTCTAAGCTTATTAATGATCAACACTACTTTTTAAAAAGGTTGTAATTTTTTACATTTCATTTTCTGATACAACCTGGAAAATATTAGTACACCTTCATTTATCTAAGTTTATTACTTTATGTTAAAATTTTGAAATCCGCCAAATCTTTCATGTAATTGTGTTTCCATATATAATTTTAAATTCTAAAACATGTTCAGGAAAAAGCAGAAACAGTTTTAAAAAGAGATATTACATAAAAATTTAAATGTATCTACATATCAAAACAAATAAATGAAAGTAAAGGCAAATAACCAACAAGAAAAATATATTTGCATCAGGTGACTAAGAAAAGGTTAATGCTGGACGCGTGGCTGTCAAGTCTGATATCCACAGCACTTTGGGAGGGCCGAGACGGGCGGATCACGAGTCAGGAGATCGGGACCATCCTGGCTAACACAGTGAAACCCCGTCTTCTACTAAAAAATACAAAAAACTAGCCGGGCGATGGTGGTGAGCCTGCCCTGAGTCCCAGCTAATGTAGTCCCAGCTACTCAGGAGGCTGAGGCAGGAGAATAGCGTAAACCTGGGAGGCGGAGCTTGCAGTGAGCTGAGAATCCGGCCACTGCACTCCAGCCTGGGCGACAGAGGGAGACTCCTCTCAAAAAAAAAAAAAAAAAAAAAAAAAAAAAGAAAAGGTTAATATTCCTAAAGGACTCTAACAAACAAATTATAAATTTAAATAACCTTAAAAACGGAATAAGAATATCGAATGTAATCAAAAGATAGGGCTATAAATAAGATCTAAAATGTATTGAATGTTTACATCAAGCATTATTCTAAATGCACCATCTGTATTAACTCGATCCTTGCAACACACAATAAGGTAGTTACTAACATCATTAAACACATGAGAAGACCGTGGAAAAGAGAGGTCAACTAGTAATACAAAAGGCCAAAAGTAGAAAAGCATCCTACTTCGTTAACATTTAAATATATATATATATATTAAATAAGGAGATTCTTTTTCTATTTAAAAGTTATACCTTTTTTCAATATAAATGTAATAAATCTTCATTGTAACATTTTTGTAAAATAGAAGAAAATAACATTTTAAAAAAGTGATCCAAGTCCGGGTGCAGTGGCTCACGCCTGTAATCCCAGCACTTTGGGAGGCTGAGGCTGGTGGATCACAAGGTCAGGAGTTCAAGACAAGCCTGGCCAACATGCTGAAACCCTGTCTCTACTAAAAATCCAAAAATTAGCTGGGTGTGGTGGTGCCCGCCTATAATCCCAGCTACTTGGGAGGCTGAGGCAGGATAATTACTTGAACCCAGGAAGCAGAGGTTGCAGTGAGTTGAGATGAAACTGGTGGTATATATATAATTTTTTAATATTTGCTCATAATTACTGTGTAGGAAATAATTTATTAATTAAATTAGGATGTTTTAATCTGTTCTGAGCTACTAAAAGTAGTCTAAAATATGGGCAGTCGTCTTAAATATATCATTGATTCTGTAAGAAATCATCTCAAAATGCAAGAGAGTTTTCAGTACTTATGTCAATATTTAGAGGAAGTAGTAAAACTCTTGGAAAGCTGGAAATTTTATTGTATGTATTCTTTATAAAGATTTTATAACTTGTCTTTAATTAAATTCTAATTACAGGCCCGGCATGATGGCTCTGCCTGTAAGCCCAACATTTTGGTAGGCCAAGGCAGGAGAATCACTTGAAGCCAAAAGTTGAGATCAGGCTGATTAACATAGTGAGACCTGTCTCTATTTATATGTTAAAATAATAATAATAGTAATAATAATCAATTGTAATTACAGTATTCCTAGAGAAGTTGGTTTAGATGTATTATTTAAATAAGGTTTAAAAGTGATATTTAGCTGAAATCATTATTTTGAAAATGTACATTTTCAGATGATAAAATTTTACAGAATTACATAGAACGTATACTTCGTTATGTCTATGAAGCTGTTTTTTTTTTCCTTTTCATCTTGTTAGCACATAACC